ACGAACCATGAGAGACTCTGGACTCTGAGAAACAAACTGAGGGTTCTAGAGGGGAGGGGCATATGGGGATGGGTTAGCCTGGTGATGGGTATTAAAGAGGGCACGTACTGAATGGAGCACTGGGTGTTATACACAAACAATAAATTATGGAACACTACATCAAAAACTAATGATGTAATGTATGGTGATTACCATAACATTAAAATAAAATAAAATATAAAAAAATAAAATAAAATAAAATAAAATAAAATAAATAAAAAAGTAAACTAAGAGCAGAGTTTTAGACAACGTTGCTCTTGTTCTATTTCATATTCCTCTACTTCCCCATTTCCCCATTCATGTCTAAATTCACTATATTCTGGCTGATTTGTTATTCTTAGTTACCCTATCCAGTGGTGGTTTTAGTTTTCTTCCTACTAGCTTTCTGCAACTTTTGGCACTCTCTTTCCTATTGGAGAACACCCTCTCCTCTCATTATCCTTCTCTGTTTCCTTCCCTGGCTCCCCTTCTGCTCATCCTCCCTGTTGACAGTTCTCAAAATTCCATCTACTGCCCATTGTTATTCTCAGTATATATACTCTCCCTGGAAAAATTTCTTTAAAACCTTGTTGAGATAGAATTCACATACCATACAACCTTCCCATTTAAAGTGTGCAATTCAGTGTTTTGTTTTGTTTTGTTTTGTTTTGTTTAGTTTTTTCAAAGATATGTACAATTACCACCAATATCAATTTTAGAGCATTTTCACCACTTCAAATAGAAAACCTATATCCTTTAGCTATCAGCTCTTATTCTCCCATTTTCCCCAACTCTAAGAAACTGCTAATCTACTTTCTGTCTCTATAGATTCACTATTCTCCATATTTCATATAGATTAAATCATACGATACTTGGTCTTTTGTGACTGGCTTCTTTCACTTAGTATAATGTTTCACAAAGTTCATCTACATTATAGCATACATCAGTATTCATTTCTTTTTTATTGTTGAATATTATTACATTGCATGGATATACTATACTTTATCCATTCATCAGTTGATATACATGTAGATTGTTTCTACCTTTTGGCTATTGAGAATGGCACTGCTGTGAACACTTGTGTACAAGTTTGTGTGTGGACATATGTTTTCATTTATCTTGGAGATATATATATATATAGCACTAGAATTGCTAGATCTCATTCATTTCTAAGGTTTTATTCACAATATCTATCCAGGTTCACTTTTTAAATTATCTCTAGTTCAGTATCTTTCACACTACACACTTCAGACAAATATAGCCACATACCTGCTGAAATTCCCACCTGGATATTCTACAGACAGCTTCAAAGAAAACATATCCCAAACTGAGCTCATCTTTCTTTCCAAATTGCTCTCATCCCCTGAATTATTTATGTCTGTTCATGCCCCCACATACACCTACTTGTTTCATTTGCCTCGTCCCTCTTTATCCCTACTCATATTCAGTCTGTACTATACCCTGCCAATTTACCTCCCATATGTTCCCCACGTGTATCCTTTCTATTCGCCACATCTGCCCTAGTTCAAAAATTCCCTTCTAGGTTACAATAGTTTATCTGGCTTTCTTGCCTTTAGTTTTGTCATTCTATGATCCAAAATCCGTAAGTCTGATCTTCCTAAAACTTAAATCTGAACTGCCACTCTTCTATTTACACTTTTCAATAACTCAGCACTACCTAGAGAATTCAGGTCATGCTCTACAGCATGACTCGCCTCCCATTGTTTCTCTTGCCACTCCTTGTCTGACCCTTTAAGCTCCAGCAACTTTGAAAATGTTGTAGTTTCTGACTTGCACTGTCCTGCTTTTACCTTATGTGCATTTACAAATACTGTTCTCTGCTTGCGGTGCGCCCTCCTTCTTGCTCTCACCATCCACTGCTTATCCCTCCTCTGACTTTGTTTGTGTAATTAATATTCATCTTTTAGGATCCATAGGCCCTCCTCTAGGAGTCTCTCCCATATGCTCTCCTCTCTCTCCACCCCGAGTGACCTTCCTTTGCATTCACATAATAACCAGTGAGATTTTTATCAACACATGAACCACATTACACTTCTTTCTCATTGACTTTTTGTCCATTGACTTGTGATTTCTGAAGGCATTGGGTGTTTTATCCCTAACATCATGCTATGTGTCCATACATCTGATCACTACAATAACCCCACCTACAGATGTTTCTAAACTTTGCACTTTTTTGCAATTATTGGAATCCAGATTCTAGAGTGTTTGGTTCTTCCTTTTATCTAAGCGGCCTTCCTCTTAAACCAATTCATACTTACTTACTCACCCAAAGTATTTTACTTTACCTAACATTGTATTAGATGCTTACACTTCATTAACAACAAGGTTAGGGGGAGGCAACAGTCTTATTGATACCAGGTCTTTAGAACACAGTACATTTTGTATCCTAATGTAGCAGATGTTTGTTTTTTGCTTTTGTTTTTGTTTTTTTCCATCACTCCTGCACTGCCTTATGGGTCCCTCTTTTACAGTTCCTTCCTTAAGACTCACCACAATTGCCATCCAGTTGGTAGGTATCCTTCCTTACTCTGAACTACCTTAGTACTTATGGTCTAACATTCATGTGCCTCATAATATCCAAATACATCTACAGTCCAGGGGGTAGTTCTTTGAACAAGTTGACAGAATCATGGGGGCCCAAACTGGGCCCATGGGCACCTCCGGGCATGGTTGTGGGTCATGGACATTAGGGACATTCACAGCAGCTTCCTCAGGGAATTCCAAATCATAAAGTCACAATAGGAATCATGGTGGTGAAGTGTAAATGGAGAAGGTTGAGGAGAGGAAGTGAAGTAAGAGGCATAAATGGAACCTAAGAAGTCAATATCCAGATGTATGAGGAGGTGTGAATTAAAGTGCTGGATAATCAGGTCTGAATATTTTCCTGCATCTCAAAGAAAAGAGCCTCATAATTTTTTTTGGTTGTTGTTCTTGAAATCAGGAGTCTATCCTCAATGCTTGAGGCAGGAATGTAATAAATAGGTGTTATGGCTCATGCAATGGAGACATTTGAGGAGATCTCCTGGAGCACTCCATGAAAAATACTTTTGAGACCAAAGAAGGCTTGGCTAGTTACAATCATAGAAGGAGAAAACCAGAGTCACATGTTTGCCATTACTGACTTGAAGCACAGCTTTGGGGTGCTATGTATATATATTGTACCATATTTTAATTGTTAATGTATATGTTGTCTCCCTAATTAGACTTTAAGTTCTTTGAAGGTGATGGATCCTTTTTATATATTCCATAATGCATGATATGCAAAAAAATTCTAGAGCAAATATAATAACATATACTTTGTAGGAACTTCTCTTCTGTGAAAAATTAGAACAAAAGGCATTTGGGAGAAATTCCAATATTTTCTCTCAGTGGGTCAGGGATCAGTAATTTTAGCCTCATAACATATGACATAATGCAGTCTGTATAGGGACTCATTCATATATCAGAAATTAAAAATTCACAAGTGAAATGTATCAAAGAATTTATTATATATTTGTGCACAGGGATACTTCTATATTCTCATCCAGTAACTTTAGTTTCCTCATCCACCCTGCTCTTCACTTAAAACCAACATAAACTTGAACTAGTTCATCAAATACTATTTCTAGTATTTTTGTTTCATGTGTTTAAAATATTTGAGCACATAGAGTAACATAACCTGCCAATGCTAGAGCTACCTCTCTCTAAAAACCAAAATTAATCTTTTTGTCAAGAGGCAAAATTTATTATAATATTGCTTTTCTATGACTCATTTCTTTTATCATGTTGGAGTATTAAATGGTACAGTATAACAAAAATTATACCAAAAACAAATATGGCAACAAATTTTAGAGGTTATAAAATTGCTAAAACTTTTTTCTAGTAAATAACCAAAATAGATTCAACCATATTTCAAACTGTAACTCACACAGTCTACCTTATGCTTCTCAATTTTCTCTGAGATCCCAAACTAACATAGTTCAGCAGAGAAAAATAATTTATATTTTTTAATATGAAAAAATATATTAAAACTTTAAACACACATATGGGCACTAAAATTTCTAGCTCATTTACATGGTTTGAAACTGTATATTTTGTTAACTGTTTTTTTTTATTTTACTTGAATCAGATTATCACTGAAACATGGTTTACTAGAAAACACATTCTGCCAAAAAAAGAGGCCTGAATTCTAGCCCTGTCTATAAATCTGAACTATAGAGCAAGAGCAAAAATACTGTATTTGGTTATACACTTACACAGATCTTTACCAGAAATTTCATGTCTACAAAGTGGTTTACAGCCTTGTAGATTTCCTGAAGTAGAAACCAACATAGAGTAACTCTTTTTATTTTCTCAGGTATTTATATGAGAAAAGTGTAATTACCATCTACATTTTTTATCATTTAATAATAGAAAGACATTTTAATACTTAACTGTATAAAGTATAGAATTTCAGCATTAAACAAAAATTTAATATTTAAATTTATGAAACCTCATATATTGCTATTTTTGTCTCATTTTTCCTCAGACATTACACATTACTAATTTATGCCACTTATATAAATAATTGAGGATTTGCTAAATACCATATATATTTAAATACCCAGTCCCAAACCTAATGATTCTTTTTGTTTTTTTAAAGATTTTACTTATTTATGTTAGAGAGAGATAGAGAGCGCACAAGTAGCAGGGGGGCAGAAGGAGAGGAAGAGAGAGAATCTCAAGCTGACTCTGCACTAAGTGCAGAGCCTGACGTGGGGCTCAATCCTGCAACCCTGAGCCAAAATCAAGAGTCGGATGCTTAACCAGCCACCCAGGTGTCCTAACCCTAATGATTCTTTTAAAAATTATTTTTAAGTAGAAAAGAGCACAGAAAAAAATGTAGGAATTTTCCTTTAGTTTCTACAAACTAGGTAGAGAATATTAAATTAATGATGCATTTTGAGGCATTCAATACATAGCAAATCATTTCTTTATTTCAGATTGATTTTCCAGCTACTGAGTGGGAGTATATGAAACTTGATTTTGAAGACAATAGAAATAACCTTGAAGAACCACCAAAAGAGTGTTTAAAACATATTGCCAGACTTTCACAGAAACAATCTCCCTTGCTGTAAGTGACCCAGGTCTTGTGAGTGAATTTTGCCTGCTGTTTTTGATACCATGAATTATATTGGAAGTCACATCTGTTGGGTGATCAATTAATGTTTAGGAGCTAAATTAGTAATTCTGTATGTTTTTTAAAGATTTTTTTCCCATTGTTTTTAGCAGCTTTAACTTTAGTCAAAGGACAAATAAGAAGATTGGAAATCATTCAGTTCAGTACAACAAAGCAGATATAAAACGTGATAAAGCCTTTCATTACAAGAATAAGAAATTGTTTAAATATTTTGAACAGGAGAGTCATGTGATCTAAATAATCTTTTTTGAGTGGGCCCTTGGACCACAAACTGAAGAATGGATTAGAGAGAAATTAAGAATGGAAGCAGTACAGCAAGAAGGTTGATGTAATTTTTTAAGCAAGACGTCATGGTGACTAAAACTAGGGTGATGACAATGGACCTTGGTAAAAATGGCTGGATTTGGGAGATCATTTTTGGAAATTGAGAAGACATGACTTGATAATTACTAGTAACTAGGGGATAAGCCAACTGAGAAAGCAAGAAATCAAGTTAAGTCAGTGGAGAGTCCATTGACTTAATGGATTGCCTATTTGAAATGATTGAACAGGCAGATGTTAAGAGTCATTTTCTGGAGAAGGAATAAGTTTGGGCCATTTCAGATTGAGGTGTGGCGTGTGATCAAGAGTTCTGTTTTGGGTAATATTATTGCCCTTATCTCTAATTTCACCTTGTAATACTCTATTCCTCATTCACTCCATCCAGTGACATCAGTCTCCTTTATATACTTCAAATGTGCTGGTCCCTCTCCCATCTCAAGACCTTTTCATTTTGGTCTTCCCTCTACCTGAAATACTCCTTCTTCAGTTCTTCACATGACTGAATCTCTCATCCTGTAGATCAGGTCTTCACTGAATTGTGATCTTCTTAAAGAAGCATTCTTTGAGTACCCTATCTAATGAAGTTTTTCTCTTTACTCTCTGTCTTATTACCTTTTATTATCACACTTAACACACTCTATTATCATCTTGTTTGTTAATGTTTTTTCTTGTCTTCCTCATAAATTTGTAAGAATTGGGAGAGCAAGGAACCCATCTATCTTGTTTGTCACTATATTTCCAGTACTGTACACTGTGCTGATAAATAATACGTGTAAAATAAATGTTATAATGAATAAAGTTCTTTCACATAGTATCTGATATAAAAAGCTGCTTAAGGGTTATAAATGATGGACTATTCTCATAGTCCTCATGATACATTTTGATAATCCATTGTTATACTAGGCTACTGTCAACTAGGTGAAGCAACTTTTCTACTACTTACTCAAAAATACAAAACATTACATATAACAAATGTGTCACATATCAGACTAATATATTTGTAATGTTTTTTTAAATATGAAAAAGGTGCCGTGCTTTGAAATTTTAAGTATATTCATTTTTTAAAAAGATTTTATTTATTTATTTATTTGTTAGAGAGAGAGTTAGTGAGAGCAAGAACACAAGCAAGGGGAGTGGCAGCAGAGGGAGAAGCAGGTTCCCCGAGGAACAAGGAGCCCGATGCAGGACTCAGTCCCAGGACCCTAGGATCAGACCTAAGCCGAAGGCAGATGCTTAACTGAGCCACCCAGGCATCCCATGAAATTTTAAGTATATTCAAACAAAAAAAGATCAAAAGCAACAAATAATGAATGACTGTAACTTCCTTTATATATTAGGAGTTTATGTTTTTAAGTTTGCCCCAGTGAATCCCAACTTCTTTTAGACCTCAGTTTCTATTTAAATGAATAATTTATACATAAAACAAGTAACATTTTCCTCTGTTTCACTTACTCAAATACAATTATTAGGCTCAGTACAGTAGAATTTCATTTTGATTGTGAGAAAGATGAACAGGCTTCAATGTGATAAAATTTGTGTTAGAATCAGATTAACTTCAAAAAAAGAATCAGATTAACTTGTTTCAAAATACCACATTTTGTCATTTATATAGTGACAATTATTCCTTCTTTCAAATTTATCTAACCAGAGTCAGGAAATTCAGACTCATTGAAATTCAATGAAAATGTACCTATAATATTTGTAAAAATTTTAAAAATATAGATTCTTGATGACAGCTAAGAGTGTTTCTAATATGAGAAAGATTCCAGAACAAAAGATAGAAAAACATTTGTTTTGAAAGAAATTAATGCTTCTACTTCTAGCTATGAAAGGCACCTATTACTAGACTAATTCTCCTGACTTAAAGGAATATGAGACAAGAAAAATACATATGAAACAAATGCTTTCAGAAATTGAATGGGGCTTGAGGTGTGCTCATGAATAAAGTGTTTTTCAGCCTGGAGGCACTTTCTACATCATGGCTCTGGGAGGTATAATCAAAGAAGCGGTCTTGCTGAGATTTAAAAAATAAGTGGGCAGAGATCAGAGTTTAATGATGCTGAAACAGCTGGAATTTCTAGAGCATAATAGTAGAGAAGGATAGGAGCTACAGAAATACATATCTGAGTACTTAGCTTCTCATGAGCAGGTAGAGATTTTGTAAGCCTGCAAAAGAGCCATCACAGGGAAATGTGAACTGAATGTAGATTCCACAGGTTGCACAGTGCTGGAAGACATAGAAATATTGACCAATAAGAATGAAAAAAGATCCCAGAACACCCCAAGCATTCAACAAAGAAACCAGAAAGATGAATATTAAGAGTAAGTGTTCTCTAGCCCAAGATTAAAGACTATGCGAGGCCCAACCTATCATTAAAACAAGTCTCAAAAGGTTAAAGTTGGGAGAGGCAGAGCAAGATGGCGGAGGAGTAGGAGACCTGGATTTCGTCTGGTCTCAGGAATTCAGCTGAGTGGGGATCAAACCATTCAGAACACCTACGAACTTAACAGGAGATCGAAGAAGAGAGTAGCAACAACTCTCTGAACAGAGGAGTGACCACTTACTGGAAGGTAGGACGTGCGGAGAAGTGAATCCAAGGTGATATTCGGGAAGATAAACAGCGGGGGAGGGGGCCTCCGCCGCTTCTGGCAAGTGATAGAGCAGCGGAGCACAAAATCGGAACTTTTAGAAGTCGGCTCTGCTGAGGGACATCACTCCAGTGGCTAAGCAGGAGGTGGAAACCTCACGGGACAGTGTGGTCTCAGGACCCTCGGGGTCACAGAAAGACCGGGGGTGCCTGAGTG